CTCGGTCTGTGGCGCTCAGTCTTCTCGGTCTGTGGCGCTCAGTCTTCTCGGTCTGTGGGGCTCAGTCTTCTCGGTCTGTGGGGCTCAGTCTTCTCAGTCTTCTCTTTGGCTTCTTTTCCTCCTCCCTCTGTTAACTAAGCCGCATGGAGGCGCCTGTTCTGTGCCGAGCACTTGGCAGGCACTGGGTTCTGTTGAGGGAGCCCCAGAAGGGAGAACGGACGCCCTCTGAGCCGTGGACTCAGAGCGGGCCTCCTGGAGACCTCCAGGCTGCCTGCTGCGTTCTCCGGAGGGGGGTCTTTACGTCGCCTGAGCCTTCATTCTTCCACGCGTAAATTGTGCAAAGGGTACACGGGGAGGTTCTCCAGCCGGCACGTGCTGATAGTGGGCGCTGCCCCGGCGTTTTTAGAAGGATCAGGATGGCGTCACATTTTTCCGTGTTGTGAAATGCTGAGCTTAGAAGAACAACCTACAGAAGTGGGGGAAAGTTGGAAATGTGACCTAAGCTGTAACGTTAGTTGTTAGATTAGTACTAACTCAGGAAAATAAGGTGCAGCTGCCTCTGAAGGCTGGTGGCCGCTGTACCGGCCTACTCAGAAAGCATCGTGGCAGAGCCGATGGGACCCCCGCGGTGGCTGGCCCACACGCAGTGACTCCAGCGCTGGATCCAGTGCCCAGTGTTGGGGGGCCTCCCAAAGCCATGATGATAGCAGGGTGTGAAGCTAAGCCAGTCCTTGGGGAGATGGTTGGGCGGATGCAGGACCTTCTGAGAGAATTGGCGTCTCTGTGACTTTTCAGTTGAGAAAATCTGGGGCTGAGAGGACTGTATCACATGTTTGTGAATTCACTTAAGATGGGGCAGGAGCCCTGTTTTTTAATAATATTTGAAAAATATGCTTTAGTCCTCAAATCCCAGAACACACTGGGAGGCGATGGAGCCCACAGAGAAAGCACATCCTTTCTGTGGATGCTGGGATTGGGGTGTCCCCAGCTCCGACACCATGCCTGTCAGAGCATTAGGATCTGTCCCCAGCGAGGCTAGTGTCTCCCAGGCACTGCCCTGGGGGAAGGCGCCGCTCTGAGGGAAGGCGCTGACGGGCTGAGCGGGCTGGTGCTCTCTCCACAGGGAGCAGGGGGCTCCTTCAGCATCGACAGTGAAGACTATGAGGCAATGCCTGTGGAGGTGACGCTGCTCCCCCGGAAGCTGCACTTCTTTTGCGACCCGAGGAGGCGGGAGCAGGTGCTGCGGGGGCCGGTTCAGGAGAGGACCGAGCCAGAGGGGCCGGGGCCAGCCCTGTAGGATAGGCCCTGAGGGAACAGGCTGGCTGTCCCCACGTGTCGCCGGTGCCCCGTGCCCTGCCCTGTCATCAGCCCTCCATGCCCCTGCCCTCATCTCGTGTGACAGCTGACCCTCCTCTACGCTGGCCTCCCCATCTCCTTCCAGAAGCTCTCCCGCTCCGCGGATGGGAAGGGCCAGGCCTCTGCCAGCACTGGGAGCCCGGCCGCAGTGGGAAGCGGCCCCAGGCCATCCAGGCTCCTGGGCTACCCTCCTTCCCAACACCCCCTCTCCCACATGCCGCTGTTGGTGAGCGCCTCATAGTCAGCTCTGGTTTCAGTTTTGTCCTCAGTCAGAAACATATGTGAGGTGGGTTCCGTCTTCAGCCATGGCTAAAATACTGCAAAATCCTGGTGATTTGTTCAAAGTGGTGGTTCTTAAGGGTCGGTGTGCATGAGAACCGCCTGAGGTATGTGTGGAAAGCTGACTGACTTGGGGCCATCTGGGATGGGGCCCAGGACTCTGCAGTGTTAGAAAGTGCACCCCTCCCCAGGTGAGTCTACATGCGCTCCCTCTCCCATACTTGAAGGAATAGTGATTTAGGGCAGCGGTCCGGGAGCATCTGCTCACCTGCCCCCAGAGGCGTTTGGAAGAACCAGGGTTCCCCTCACGTGTACATTGTCATCTAATGTTTTTCATGGTAAGTTGAATAGTTGCCAGACTGTGTACTTTCTGGTGTCATGTAAATATTGACATTTAAAATAAAGTTGCGCTACTCTCTTAAATATATCCGGTGCGATTTCAACACCGCAGCTATTTCATATCCATCATCCATTTAAAAAAATAAACTAACAAGTTCTTAAGTAGTTGAAAATTTTTAATTGGCTTTTCTCCCTGAATGTGTTTCCTGCTGTTTCAGCAGCGTGTTATCAGAATGGCGTCTGTCTTTCTGCTTGGAATTATTTTTTGATCGCCCTGTCATCTTCTCACCAGCAAACTACATAGATGGAAATCTTTTTTTTTTCTTTTTTAGTTCCTGCTTTAAATGTTAATTCAATACAGAATACGTTTCATCCTAGTTATTGGTACACACTTGATAAAAACAATATTGATGTAAATGTTTGGTGACTAAACATTTTTACGAGGACTGCTGTTTATCTCAATTGGTTCATTTATCCAAGAATACATAAATGTTAGTCACAGCAGTGGTGCGATGGATCGCTTTTATATGGCCTTTCCCGCCATGGTCTTGTAACTCCCACCCAAGTGATTGGGCGGGACTATGCAAATAAGGTAATTGTGGCCCACCAAGGGGTTGGTCAGTTTTGCCATCCCACTAAGTTTAAAAATGAGCCATCCCAGAGGTGGGAGGAGGGGATCTCACCACCACCAAGAAAGAAGAGCCAGGAGTGGAGCATGTCCTTTGGACCCAGGATCCCTGTACTGAGAAGCTCCTAGATCCAGGAGACAGAGAGAGAGAGAACTGTAACAGCAGAGACAGCTCAAGATGGCGAGAAGCAGCAGCAGAGAAACAGCAGCAGCAGAGACAGGAGAACCAGGCCCACAGAGCAAGTAAGCTGAGCACCTTTTTAGGCTGGAGGCTTCCTGGCAGAGTGGGGTGCAGCCGGGCCCTTATCGGCAGAGCTAAAAGAGCTTTGTAACACTTGCCTGTGCAGGGCAGAGGCCAAAGGGCCACAGAGAGGCCTGCCTGCAGGCATCGCTAAGAAGCTGTCCTGATCGAAGAACTGTATTCCGAGTGTTCCTGAGCCTGTTACTTCCCTAATAAACCCATAATCATGAGTATTGTCTGTGAGTTCTGTGTGACCACTGCAATGAATTATTGAACCCAGCAGAGAAGTAGAGGGTGCGGTGGGAGTGCTGGTTGGTGTCAGAATTGGTAAAGATGGCAGAGAGAGGAGGCATGTCTGACCTCCTCACAGGAATCAGCCTTGGGCTGCTGATCTTGATTCTTCTTCCTCCTTGTGAAGTTAGAGGAGGTCAGACACACCCACCTTGCTTTTTTTTACAATAGCTAAGATGAGACAGGGCTCAGCATCAATTGGAGTCCTTTTTTCATTGTTTCATATATGTAAGCACATGCATAAGTAGACGGGAACAGGAAGAATAATGTCCTACCACTGTCACTCAGCTCTTTGAGTGCCTTTGGAATTACATTACAAAAGTCACAGTGACCCATCATCAAGAACGCTCCAGGAGTGGATCGACAAGACTAGCCACAACAGTGGGCTCAGACATACCAGTGATGATGAAGACGGTAGAGGACTGGCGACATTTCATTCTCTTTTACACATAATAAGGTCACTGTGTCGGAGCCACAGCAATCAGCTGACAACCTGGTTAGGTTCTCTTTTACTTTGTTGAAAGCACAGAACTGAGAATGTCCTGATTTGCTAAGGATTTGTCATCCAGTCTCATAGGATCGTTTGCTTTTACTCCTGCCCCGGACATTCGCCTTTCTCGATGCCCCGAGCTGTTCGCACTCTGCAGGACAGTGCACGCGGTCGGGTGCGTGAGACGCAGCCTTTCTGGTAAAGAGGGAGAAGGAGCAGGGTGAATGGGAGGCGGGGAGGATTGCTGGCAGCCTTAACTCCAGGCCCGTCTGAGGGCAGTTCCTGTGTCCATGCCCCTGAACCCCTCGGACACTGAAGAGAGTGCTTTAAAAAAGGAGTCTATATCAGTTATGAAAAGCCCGGGGGATGAAGTTCACAGCATAGAAGGGCTTATTTAGCGCTGTGTTCTTCAGAGGGCTGTTCTGACACGGGGGTCCGCGGCTGTAGTCATTCTGCCCATGGAGGAAGAGAGGTGTTGTGCTATTGGAAAGTGAGAGCTTCTACTTGACCCAGGTGAACCTAGCGTGTCCTGGTTCTACAGCAGAGGGTAAAGCCCAGCACAGACTATCGTTTTCTTCTTCCTGACGGGCTACCAGCGTGGAAACGTGTGTATGTTTAACGACTCCAATCCTTCCATCAGAATCGGGGTACAGAGGGTTGGGAAAAGAGATTTCATCCAGATTAAAGTGTTACTCAGTTTTAAATATTGTTATTCCATGTTTCAAATGTTCTCTCTTGATTTAGACTATATTCTTTGAGAACTTGGGTTTCTTATTGTCGGTTGTCTTGTTCTTCCCGTTCTGCCACATAAGAGAAATCGAGCAATGCATCAAGCAGGGAGTGATCTTTGTCGGCCGGATCTGGACTCCTGAGGTGTCTGAAGGAGAACCTGAGTCCCTCCTCCTGTTCAGTACGAAACTTTTGGCAAATTCATTTCACTCAGAAGCTAAGATTATTTCTGTTAAAAACACAGCAAGTGTTTTCTACTGAATAGTTTCATACCAAGCTGTCTGCCTTGCCCCATGTCAGATTCTCGTGCATTTGCGCGCACGGTCATAATCACTGCCTGCCAGGGCTGGACACCGTCTCTCAACAGCCAGCGAGGTGGACAGCGGTCTTGGTCATGCAGCCTGGGAAGCAGGAACCTGGCTTGGAACACAGTTTGATTCCAGAGCCAGCAACGTTAGCAGTTTATACTGGCTTAAAATAAATAGCTCCCCAAATGGTTAAAAGTGAAATAAAAGTTTATATATATATTCCAGTACATAATGTCTTAAACTAAACTTCGATAGTAAGAGATTTAGAGATTTTGTGGAACAAACGGGCTTCAGTCTCTGGTGGCTGAGGTTGTGTGGCCCTGGCTCCCTGCACAGGGTCCACTGCCTGGGAGCTCATCCATACCACGTCCTCCGGGGGTAGAGGCGCCAGCGCTCGGCTTCCTTTGTCTCCACCGTGAGTGGCATCAGCGTTCCTGCGGGAACCCTCTCGTGGCCGGGACCTCTTTCCTCCCTGCCATGGACTGCGTTTACTTGGACTAGCTGAAGGACTGCCACACGCACATTCATGTTAAAATGTGAACTTTAATTGTAAAATCTTTTTTCTGTAAATATAGTTATATCAGCCTTTCTGCACACAACTTGTTCCAGATATAGACAGACAGGATATACACGGAAGTCATTTGTACCACAGAACAAAATCAACTCAAGATAAATTTTCTCTTAGCATCAGGATTACGCCCAGCTTTCCTTTAAAATGATCACCATTAAAAACAGGGAGAACAACGTCCCTGTATGCAGTGGTACTCAGTAAAATTAATCAGCTGTCTTACTGAGCTAACGATATGAGGTAAAGTCTTGAACAAAAATAGATTCAGTTTCTCTTATTGCTATAACTCTATGTTGGGGTATTCATCAAAATATGGGATTTTATATTTAAGGCGACAGGGAGGCTATGCTGATCCTAACCGGGAAGAAAATAGGAAAGTAATTTTTCCAAGCTTACAACTATTTCTTTTTCAGAAAGGATTTATTTCCCAGACCTATAAAAAAAAATTTAGTCAGTGAACTTTGGGCAAATAAAGGGAGTGAATTTTGCTTTCCTATACTCTATACTGCTAAATTATCCTACCAGTCTGTTAAAAAAAAAACACAGAATCTATACCTTTCTTCACTTCTCCTCTGTGGGCATGCTAGATCCAAACTTCTTACTCCTAATGCCACCTTCAAAAATGTTTGTAGGCTTTCTCTCTGCTTAGTTCACCCGAAGGAAGGAGTTTTCACTCCAATGTCAATTAAATATATTTGCAGCCAGCTAACGCAGTTACCTCTGCGTGGATTTCTCATTTTGTGGGTCATCTCTGGCTGTTTCATAATTCCCTACTGAACCCCTGCGTTCCCCAGCTGTACTTAGAAAGCAAAGTCAATTTATTATTAGTCTAAAGAGGCATTCTAAAGCAAACATAAGTAATTCACCCCTGTCCTTCTGCTGTGGTATTGAAATAATTTTTCTTCATTTAGATCAGATTAGTTCTAAAAGCCCATGCTATGCTGAGATTCTAGAATCAACTCTAAATTAGAGATGAAAGCAGAGGCTTTATTTCTCCACCATTCTCCCTATATACAGCACCAGAAAATTCTTACTCCATTTCTAAACTTGCAGTTCCACTCAGCTGCCCCCAGATTCCAGCTCCAAAGAAGAATTAAAGTGCCAGTTATAAAACCACCTCCCATCACACCCCCATGTTAACTGAGAGGCCTCGTGGTCAGATCAGTTACCTCTTTGCTCGGAGTTTTACTGAAGGTTGGTGGCCTTATGCCGTCCTCCGAGGACTGGCAGTCTGCTTAATGCCACTAAGATTGCACAGCACAGTTTCCTGGTTGACTCTCCAAACCTTTCAGGGATAAAACTCCTAGGGGGTCCCAGCCTCCACCAATTTACAGAACTGCCTGTTTCTTCAAGGGTTATAGTTCTGAAATGGCCTTCCACTTCATCATCTGCGTACTCATTCACCACATATTAACATCGCTATAAAAATAAACTTCATTTCTTGTACGAGAAGCGTTAACGTAATTCACAGTTGGCCTTCTACAGTCTCAGGGCTCCAGTGGCTCCTAGGAACCGATGTATATTATCATAAAAATGGAATAGAAAAATCCATGACACAGGAGTACAGGAGCCGTTCGCTCCTTGTCGTCCCTGACCTGAACCAGAAAAGGGTTTTCCTGAAATGAGGATGGGCCTGCGGAACTCAAACCGCAGGGCACTGGGGACCCCTCGGAGGTGCAGAGAGATGGGGGGCCGGCTCCTCAGGGTCTTGGCGCCCCCTCCCAGAGCCGAACGGGGAGATGAAAGCCCCGGCTGCCGCACCGCCCCAGGTTGGTTTCCTGCCTGTTTAGAAGTGTCAGCACATGGCGGCAGGTTCACAGTGAAGCTGAACGTGGCCTTGTCGTTTTAGCCAGCAGCACCCTCTCCGCCTCGTAAGCCTCTCCAAGGATGACTTGCTGGGACGGGAAGAAGTGAGGCTTCCAAGGGCAAGAGGCAGGCCCGGAGGGCCTACCACTGAAGGGTCGGTCACGACTGCCCCTTACAAAAGCCCCCTGCAGGCCTGGCTTTCCAGGTGAATACTCAGTGTATGGAGTCAGTGAGTTAATACTCAGGGCTGCCAGGAGGAGGCAGTGACTCAGCCATGATTTATCTTTACCTTGGTCTTCAGCTAAAATATCATAGATAGTCACACTGAGACGCGGACCTCCCCAGATGGCATCTGGAAGTCTCCGCACCTGCCCACTACTCTTAAAAGTTTTCCCTCTGTTTTCACGTGGAACAAAGCGAGGTGAGTTACAGGTGCGAGTGCCTGTGCCAAATCCTCCGCCTTGGTAAGTCAGTGTTTCAGCCCCTCCCCTCCCTGCGGGGGGAAGGAGTGCTGTAGACCTTCCGCTCGTCCCCGTCACCTACCTGCAGGCCCAGGTGGGACATCACATGGGGAAGGATGGACAGCAGGTAAGGGATGCTTCGAACTTAACTAGAGCCAGAGCTAATTCCAGACAAGCGCTGGGCCCCTGTGACTCCTGGAGAGGACTTCTAAGCCACAGGACAACTGGCCATGTTCCCAAAGGCCAAGTGTTGACATCTCCCAAGCTCACGGAACAAAACAAAAAATCCACTTTGACAGGCCTCTGCCGTGTGTTACATGGATCTCAATCTACTCCAACCTGGATTCCAGCCCCACGAGGACTCCTGCCTTCTGGGAGCCCTGGTAGCGCAGTGGTTAAGAGCTTGGCTGCTAACCAAAAGGTCGGCAGTTTGAATCCACCAGCTGCTCCTTGGAAACCCTATGGGGCAGTTCTACTCTGTCCTGCAGGGTCGCTGTGGATCGGAATCAACTCGATGGCAACTGGCTTGGCTTTGGATGCCGGGGCAGTGTCACGGGTCAGCAAGCATTTCCAGGTTGGCCGGAGGTACTCCCAGGCTCACAGCAGGCCACAGGCCAGGCTTGGCGTCCCCCAGGACCAAGACCACCTAGGCAGGGGAGGTGTTATAGTTGTTGCGGGGGGGGAGCAGACGGCCTCTTCGGCTTCCAAGCCCTCGGTTTCCAGCCTGCTCCAGAAGGACAGGGGGTCCTGGTCCTGCCCCTGCAGGCTGTGTGGACAAGGCGAGGAGACGGGGAGTGGGAGTCACGGCCTTCTGAACACAGCAGATCACCTCTCAGGAGCACACATCTCCAGCTGCCCTTGGCCACTGCCGTCCTCCGTTGTCACCCGCTAGCAAACCTTGGACATCAGAAGGCAGGGAGGGGGCTGGAGACCGTGACAAGGCGGGCTAAGGTGCTAACGCGGGTGCCGTCAGGGGGCGAAGGCTGCGTGAGGTCTCCACCCTGCGGGGAAGCTGGCAGTGGCGGGGAGGCCCAATCTGCGGGTTCCTTCTTCAAGGGAGTGCAGGAGGGAAGGGGAGATGCTGCTCCGGCCAGCTTGGCCCACATCCCACCTGACCTGGGACATGCCACCACCTCACTGGTCCGTTCTGTGGGCCCACCAGCCTGTGGCCCTCTGCGAGCTTGAGGGAGACCTGAGGAGAGGCCGCGAGCAGACAGCTGCCGAGAGCAGAACATAGTTAAAGGGAGCCAGACCCCGATGATGATTCAGCAGGAATACAGGAGCCTCGCTGTCACCCTGCTGCCTTTGCATCACTGCCTGGAGAAAGAGAGTTTGCTGTGTCCCCCAAGAGAGTCAGTCCTTTCCTCTCCCCTACTGCTAACCCTCTTTCCCCAGCTCAGAAAACCTTGAGCCTGAGGATACCCCTAAAAATAGCCATTACTTGACCAAAGTTAATAAAGGCCCCCTCCCTCTTGAGAGGCAAGAAGAGAAGGCGGCTCTCAAAGGAAGAAAAGGAGAGGCTTCAGCTTCCAACACAGATTTTTTTCTTCTGTAAACACAGACATCACTGAAATGGTGGCTGAGCCCACACTGCAGAGGAGAGACGATTAGATAATAGAGCTTACATTTAATGCCCATACCTGTTTATATATTTACAGAAAAGATTCTACCTTGACGAACCGACAACCATCTACGTTCCCCCACGCCCAACGTTCTCAAGTCTTGAACTTCCTGTCAAGGAGCCACAGCAAAAATACTTTTGAAAAAAGCAATAATCCCTAGAAGCCTAGTCTTGTGATAAGATGTGTGAGCTGTCCAGGTGAATGCAGTTGCTGTGCTGTGCCCATGAGCCTGGCAGGGGCCTGGTCACCCACGGACGTGGACACATGGATGGCTGTTCCCACACAAAGCCAGCCAGAAGCGGGAAGGTGGACAAGTCCTTTGTCAACAACCAACAACCCAGAATCCCGGGTCAACAACCTAGACCAAAAGACCTAACCTCTGCAGTCCCAGGAGAGACTTTCTGACTAACGGACAGTTGCTGTCTCATTGGAGACGGTGTCCATCACACCCCCCACAGGCCAAGCAGGAAGCAGCTGGGCTGGCCCCGAGCGGAACACCTAGGAGAACAGATGCATTCATTCCCGACGTGCAGGGGCTCCCTGTCCACCGTGCTGGGAGAAGGCACTCTCATATTTTCTCTCTAGCCAATCTGCTAGGTCTCTCAGCAACGTCGCCTCTGCTGAAGATAAGTTTGTTTGTGGAGATCCACACTGGTTAACAGTCTTGCTCGCATCATACCCTACCTGAGTTAACCAGCTGCAGTACCTGCTGAGTTTCAGAGTCCAGGGAATCCATTTGGTCCAGAGACTCTGCTGGCAAGGCCACCAGAGGGCTCTCATCCAGGTGAATAAATATCACCTTTAGCTTACTCCAGCTGCCACCACTCTGCCCTTCGGTGTCAATGAACTCTACCCTTTACAGATGCCCAGATGACTCCAAGAGGATGTGTAGTCCTTAAAGGGGACTGATGGGGGATGGATTTGCCTGCTTGCAAGCTCCCAGGCCAGCACTGGCTCCCAGGAGTCTCCCAAGCGGTGGGAGTCAGAGGATGAGGGGGCTTACATTGGGTGTCATCATTAACTTACTTAGGAAGGGTTTCAGGGCTTCCTTCTGCCATTTTAGTTTTTGGCTGACTGTCACCCCATCCTTAGAGAAGCTCATGCTCAGCGTCACAAACACCATTTGATCCCTCTTTGAGGTCTCTGCTCCAGTGAACAGAGAAGACCTAGATTTGGCCCAGTATGCAGGAAAGCAATGTGACCCCAATACTGTAGACTCATAGAACTGGGAAAGACCCTGAGTGGTCATCTGGTCTACCTCAGCCTTTAGGCAGAGGCACATCTAAGGCCATGCTGTCTTATTCGGGAACACATGGAGGGACAGAGACTACGCAGACTGTCTGAACCACTCATCCCAATGTTTCCAGCCCCAGATTCCCTCCTAGTGATGCATGGCCTTCACCCAACTCCCACGTCACTCACCAAGTGATGAGAGTCTACTCTTCCTCCCAAGACCAAACCAGGCCCAGAAAACCGTGGCTCTTGGGAGAAAGTGGTAGATGCCATCGTCCCCGCAAACAGGACACAAAGCCAAGGCGATCCCATCTTACCGCCAGGGAAGAAAGGAAATTGCAAAAATTACATTTGTTGGAAAGTATAAACAATATTCCTTTGTATCAACTTAATAAAAAGTGAGGCCAGTGGGGCCTGGCTGAACTCCAGGCTGCTCTCCCCTCGTGAGAGCGGCGGGCGGTCCTCGGCTCCCTCTTCTATGGGCAGCAGGGGTTGTCAATGACCAGCATGACATCGATGCCGTAGGCCTCCAGCAGGTCCAGCAGGAAGCTGCGGTCGGCCTGCGGGTCAAGGCCCATGCCCCGGGCGTGCTCCGCCGTCAGCGTCCTGTCTTGACTGGCAGACACCTCCAACAAGGTCTGCAGTATGCGGTTGTTCTGCTCTAGGAAAAACCTGCATTTGCAAGACAGGACACAGAAAAGGGCGGGAAGACAAGACGAAAGCACTCATCCCTGAATCCACACCGTACGGCGCTGCTCTGTTCAGTGTTCTTTGAATAGTTTCAAAAGTAAATTAGAAATAGCTTTTAAAAAAGAAGAAAACCAGGTAAAAGTTAAAGGGTTATAAGGTACTGGGAGCCCTGGTAGCACAGTGGTTAAGAGCTCGGCTGCTAACCAAAAGGTCGGCAGTTCAGATCCACCAGCCACTCCTTGAAAACGCTATGGGGCAGTTCTGCTCTGTCCTGTAGGGTCGCTAGGAGTCGGAATCGACTTGACGGCAGTGGGTTGGGTTGGGTTTGGTTTCTAAGGTACTACTGAAGCTAGCAAAGAAGCCATTTGCCATTAATCAAAGTGAAAGAATCAGTTAACAATTGGGTTGACTCTGCCACATGACAACACCACGTGTGTCAGTACAACGGGGCTCCAGAGGGTTTTCAATGGCTTGAGTTTTCAGAAGTAGACCACCAGGCCTTTCTTCTGAGGTGCTTATGAGTGGACTTGAGCCACCAACCTTTAGTTAGCAGTCGAGGGCATTAATCGTTTGCAAAATCTCTGAGCAGGTGATGGCCTGGCTGCTGCCAGACTTAATTTCCCTGTTAGGAGGGAGGTTATTAGGGGTTTAACGCAGACTCAGAGAGAGGCCTCCATGCAGTTCTAAAGTCAGGACGTCAAGCAAGCGGGATGGGCGGTAGCAGCAGGAGGCACGGGGCCTAGAGGTAGAGCAGGGACTGGAGACGGTTGTACAACCGCAGGCCTGCAGACAGCACAGGGTGGCAGAGTGCCGCGGGAGCAGGAAAGGACGCCCAGGGGCAGAGCAGGCGAGTCTCTGATCTTGCCACCCTGGATGTAAGTGTCCATTACAGAGGAAGGGCAGCCACCCACAGGCACGGACATGGCAGCGCTCAGCGCCACGCCTGGGCAGTGGTGGTATCCTCGGATTACTTTTTTTTTGTTTTGGAAAATTATGCGCAGAGCAAGATTGAAATGTCGCTCATTTCTGGTGCTATATGAGTAACACCGAGTTTAGAAACGGCGTTGATGGTCTCAGTGTATACGCTGCGTTCTCCAGAGCTCTCAGGGACGGCAGAGGCGTTCGTGGTGGCGCCCTCCTGAAGCTGCCCCATGCTCTGCCCCACTCCCAGACACGGCCACGTCCCTCTGCTGTGTCTGTCGGAAAGCACACTGCAGCAGGGCTACAGCCCCTCGCTGAAGGTCAACACGGTTTTCAGTCTAAAGCCCGCAAGTGCTCTGAGTGTTACTCCGCATCCCCAAAGTGGGAGAGAGGACCCAGCAGGAAGCTGGAGAACTGCTTCTCTTTCAGCTACGATTCTCATCTACTTCACCCCACAGCCTGTGCAGGAAATTGCCGTTCTGAGGACAGAGGCCATGGCGCCCGCCCCCCCCCCCAGATCTGAGGACAGAGGCCATGGCACCCCCCCCACCAGATCTGAGGACAGAGGCTGTGGCACCCCCCCCCACCAGATCTGAGGACAGAGGCCATGGTGCCCGCCCCCACCACCAGATCTGAGGACAGACTTCATTAGATTCCAGAGTTACACTTGCAGATAAGTCCTAATAATGAGGGCAAGGAACAGCCTGCTTAAGGAAGTGATGGATGTGAGTCCCCGGATCCCCAGAGACAGGCCACTTCTGAGCTGTAGACATGTACACCCCGGCAGGAAACCAGCGCTGGGGTGCCCCAGCCCCACCCCCCCCCCCCCAGTCCCAGGACGCCGCCTAGCTCCCCTGCTAAGCACCTGGATGCCCCCTAACTACCCTCAGCACCAGGACACCCCCCACCAACTCCTGGTGCCAGGACACCCTCTAACTCCTCCTGGCCGGCGCTGGGACACTCCCCAACTCCCCGGGTCCCCCAGTGGCATGTCAGGCTCAGGGTGGTTGCACAGCCCAGCTCTTCATGCCCTTGGCAGCGAGCAAGGGCATTGTGGACTGTGGTGGGGGTGGCGGTCAAGGCCGGCGCAGGCCCACAGCCCTGACTCACAGCACAAAGAGGTCCTCTTCACACGGGGTGTAGTCCCCCTCCACTTCCTGGGAGTACAGCAGCATCTGCCTGTGGAGGGGCCACGTCAGACTCAGGACCCCAGCCCGCCAGGCCCTCACTCAGCCGCTGCCACCCCTCCAGGAAACAGCAGCAGCCCCACACCGTCCAAAGGCGGGGGGCGGGGGCAGGGCTGGGAAGGAGGACACAGGGCTTGGGGTCCAAACCTGGGGTCCAGGGCCAGCTCTGCCCTGAGTCACCTCAGGCACGTGACCATCTTCCCTAATAATCTAGGAAATGGGATGATGATAACACCATGCAGTCACAGGATAGCCCACTTACTGGGGATCGTGTGAGCAAACGCATAAGCAAGTCTCCAGGGCTGCATCCACAGGACGTGGGCGCTCGGTGAACAGTGTGCTCACTGCACGCGCCGCCTACCTAAGCACAGTCATCTGGGTGGCACACTGCCCCTTCTTCCTGGCGCCTCAGCTTCCCAAGTCCACGAGAAAGGACTCACACATGCAGCCTCCCACCAGGGCAAAGTGCAGGTGCCTGCTCCCCAGTGCAGGCCGCCCCCCACGCCCACCGCCCGACCCCTCAAAGATGGCGGGACCCACCACGAGGCAGGGACTCTCCTTGTCCCAGCCCAGCGCAAGGACAGGTGCAGAGACCCGTCTGTCCTCTCAGAGCGCCTCACAGCACACCTGTGCCGCCGGGGACCCACCTCTGCTCGGTGAGCCGGCGGAACTTCTCCCTGTCGGCGCTGTTGATCTTCAGCAGGGGCTGCAGGCGGTCGTGGTGCGTCTTCACGTTCTGGTTGTCCACGTAGACGTCGTACAGCTCACGCTTCTCCTCGAAGATCTTCTCGGTGGTGCCTGGGAAGCCAGGGCCGGGGAGGCAGGGCCTGAGCTGTGGGGAGGGGCACCGGCCCGACCCCCGGGGACACGGAGCTGCGTCTGGATGGGAAGCGGGTTTGGGGGGCAGGGCAGCGGCAGTGCTGGGGGAGGAGGGTGGCCTCATACTCACAGGCCACGTAGGACACTTCCACCTCCAGGCTGTCGATGTCAGCCACATTCACGTAGAAGAAAGGCTTGGACTCGGGGACGGTGCCCCCGATGCCAGGCAGCGAGATGTTGGCCAGGCAGCAGCAGCAGTACACTGTAGGGACAGAGGGGAGGGGCTCAGCCATGCCCCCATCCTTCTGCCCTGGAAGCCCAGGGCCAGCACCTTCGCTGCACACCCCTGGGGGGCTGCGGGGTGTTGCTCTGGGCTGTCCTGGCACCGGAGTTACCAGGTGTCCTGCTTCCCACAGCTGTCCCCACGGCCACCCACGATGTGCTTGCCAAGTCCAGGAGACGGTGTTCAGTCTCTCTCCCTAGGTCTGGTTCAAATCTGACACTGTTCACTTCCCGCTTCTCCAAACGCCCCACCCCTTTGGCTTCTGCCTGCCTGGCATCTTCTGGCTCCATCCCTCCCTGTCCCGCCTCAGCCTCCTCTGCTGTCCACTCTGGGCTGGCACCGCGGCACCACCACACCTCCGCTCAGTCTCCCCGGCAGGTTACAGCCTTGTGGCTGTCAGTACCGTCTACGCGATGCCCCCGCATCTCAGACCCCAGCCCGAAGGTCCAGGCCCAGCCATGCAGGGACCTGGGGGACGTCTTCCCAGGAAGGCCTCACGGGGGCCCACACGCCTCACGTCCAACGTTATCTCCCCACCTGCCTCTTCTCGGGCCCCTCATCGGGCAGCCCCCCATCGGGCAGCCCCCCATCTTGTCATTCTAGGCTGTTCCTCCCTTAAACCTCACACACGTCCGACACTCACAGCCCATCCGACACCAGGGGTTCTCAAGTCTGCCTGCTAAGCACGTCTGGATTCTGTCCTCTGCTTTAAGCTAGCCCCTTATCTGTCACCAGACCACCAATCTGTCTCCTGATCCATTGCCTCCAGAGCCCGTACTCTGAAATCCAGATCCAGTTACATGATGCCCCTCCCAGACTGAAAACTCGCGATTGGCCCAAATGTTTCTGAACTTGGTCAGCAAGGAGAAGACGTGGCAGTGTCTGCCCTGGGCCCCCTGGGAAGAGCCCAGACTGGCTTCAGGTTACCTCTATAGCACACGACGCCCACGGGGGGTGGGGAGAATATCAGAATGCGCTTCCGCAGCAGGGCAAACTTCCAGAGGATGAGGATCTGCTCACCAAAGAACTTGATAAACTGAGACATGCAGCCAGCGGGGTGTGTGATCTGAGAACAGAGCGGGAGCGGGGAGAGGAGGCGCTGTTGGAAGTGTGATCAGAGCCATGGAAGACACAGGTGTGCGCCGAACTCTCCCAAAACACCCCAAGTACAGCCAGACGATACTGTAAGGGCTGGTTACTCCCACACAAAATGGTATTTTTCCCTTTAAAGCTTAGCCTTAAACTAGGCATATATAAATCCAACAGGTCCCCGGCACACTGAAGTTTGTGTTTAGGGATCACTGACTGCTGCGGACATCGGCGGCTCAGTGGTAGAGTTCTCGCCCCCCACGCGGGAGATCCAGGTCCGATTCCCGGCCGCTGCACCTCGTGCGCAGCCACGGCCCGTCTGTCCGTGGAGGCTTGCGTGTTGCTGTGATGCTGAACAGGTTTCAGCGGAGCTTCCAGACTGAGACAGACTAGGAAGAAAGGCCTGGCGATCTACTTCCAAAAATCAGCCAGTGAAAACCCTGTGGATCACAACAGTCCACCTGCCATCGATCACGGGGATGGCACGTTTCGTTCCGTTGTGCATGGGGTCACCATGAGTGGGGGGCTGACTTGATGACAGCTGACAACAGCTACTTTACTAGGGTGAGAGGTGCAGAGGAAACAGCTGAACGTAACTGTTTAAAAGTCAGAAATTAAAGTGTCTCTATAGCGACAGTTTATCTTGATGAAACATTCAACTCAGAGCCTCAGCTGAGCGCTGGAAGGACAGATGACGACCAGCAGCCCCAGCTTACTTGACAAGTCTACAGGGACCCGGCCACTGGGTGTATCTGCAGGTGTATCTGCAGGTTCCAGGTGGAACGCCGCCCCGGCTTGGCACACCACCTGCCGCCTGCCCGCCTCTCCCTGGCTCGCTGAATGCAAGGAGTCTCAGCCCCTGAGCGCAGCCTCCTTGGAGCGAGGACTGAAGCCCCATGCTGGCTCTGCCATTTACTGAGACAGCAGCCCTGGAAACATTCATTCATGTTTCCGTTCACTCTCCTTGTCTGTAAAACGGGGAGACGCTCATCTGCCTCACGTGGCTATAAGAACCAAGGGAAAACACACGAAATACTTAGCACGCTGTATCGGCCCAGTATACGGCCACCAGCTCTGTCACTGACGGAACAGAAAGGCTGCAGCCTCGGTGCCACGTGACCTTTCTGCGCGTCACAGTGTCGTCCCCACTCGGGACGCAATGAGACACCTGGAGACAGCGCAGACTCAGCGCTGCGAGCAGGGACTCGCAGCTGGACCAGGAGGGGGCACCAACTCTGAGCCTCAAGGACTCAGCAGGTCCCGCCCTGGTCTGGAACAGTGGGGTGGCCCTCGGGCTGGAGTGAGCACCCCGCAGTTTCCACCTGGCCAGACACTCAGGGACCAACTCCTCCCCAGATGCCTCCCCAGGTTCTCCCTTAGCCTGTGTTCTCTGTGGGGCAGCCCTGGGTGCCACTGAGGTGTCTTGTGAGGGGCCCAGGGAGGGAGAAGAAGCAGGAGGAGCTTTCTGTCCTGACTCATCTCTGTACCTGCCAACACCTCATACTTGGCCAGGGGTTTTGTTGAATGTTAACGGACATTTTCTCATACCAAAGACCAGGTACTTCAGAAAAATACACAATAAAGTAATATTAAAAAATACTGTAATTAAGAGAATATCATAGCTGTTCATCAGACGCTTTATCTTTTGTTCAAATGTCCAGCTTTAAATTATCTGAAGCAACTAATAGACTCCAATGCACTTCTTCTCCCCGGAACCCGCCACCACCAGCTGGCCTCTCATACACAGCTTTGTGCTGTGATGTCTGGGTACCCAGAAAGCACGTAGTTGAAGGTAACTTCCTTACGTTGTAAGAGAACCCAACGCTTGTGTTACCGCTCATGCCACTGTCCTATTCTGCTGAAGGCAGAGCGCAAGCATTTGTTCCGTACTAATTAAAAAGTCATCAGTACTACTGTATCAGCCACACTGTGTGCTGCGAGAGGGCAGGCCGACCTCACCTTCATCTCGGGGTACATGTACCGATGGATGGAAGGAAGCCAGTAGACGGGTGGCAGGCGGCCACCTCTCCCTGGACCAGCGTGGAGCTCCCCTTTCTTGTCCTCGTAGAACGCAGCCAGATGAGAGTAGTGCCCCGGCGTCTCCAGCTGGTGCCTGCACAACACACCCAGCGCACACACACACGTACACATATGCACACACACAGACACGTGCACATGGACACACAGACACATGCATACACACAGACACGCACACAGACACGGACACATGCATGCACATGTGCACACATACGCACGTACACATGGGCACCACAGACCCACACATGCATGTGCACACATGGACACACGCACACGGACACACGCACACACACACAGACACATGCACAGTGGACACATGCACACACGCACACACACACACGGACAGTGAGAACGGCGCTGGCCACGGTCGGCCACGCACACCCTGACCCGTCATAGCACTAAGGGGCAAAGGCCCTGGTACATTAACATGACCCCATTTTGAGGTTGCCAGGGACCCCTTTGGCGCTACAGAAGAACCTCAGGAAAAGCTTGTATGTGGGCCTGATAACCCCAGTGGTGCTGTGTCACAGCCCCCTTCTCATGGGAAACGGACAGAATTAACAGACTGTGACTAACGTCTGTTCTTGAGCACGGTTCACAGGACTGCGTGCCGCCCGGAGAATGGCTGCTCGCGGGGGAAGGAGTAACGTGGGAGCTAGAAAGCCTGCTGAAAGCCACTCTGTCTGTGAACTGTGCTTGTTTGCTCTCCGTGTTGTCAGAAAAGATTAAGGAGAAGCACCCCACCCCCACCCCGCCCTGCCCTGAATGTCTGAAATAAGACAAAAAATAGCTATTATTGGATGTTCCCCATCCAGGGCTCATACTCTCTGCACCAAATACTAAAGTAAGAAAAAGCATCAGCATGCAAACAGATACTTGTACACCAATGTTCATTGCAGCATTATCCACAATAGCCAAAAGGTGAAAACCACCCAAGTGGCCATCAACAGAGAGCTGGATAGACACAATGTCCATCCATACAATGGAGTATTATTCAGCCACAAAGAGAAATGAAGCCCCGGTACATGCTGCGACATGGATGAAGCCTGAAAATACTAGGCTGAGTGAAAGAAGTCGGACACAAAAAGACAAACACGGTATGATCCCACTTAGCTGAAATAGGCAAATGTTTAGAGACCAGAGTTGGTTAGTGGCTACCAGGGGTGGGAGAGAGGGCAAGGGGAGTTTTTGCTTCAGGGACGCTGAGCTTCTGTTAATGGAGGTGGAATCATTTGGGAATGGGTAGTGGTGATGGATGTCCAGCGTGATGAACATCATCAATGTCACTGAATTGTACATGTAAAAAACGTTGAATTGGCAAATGTTTTGTCATATCTATTTTTACCATGATAAAACAATAAAAAAGCATTCGAGCTCCTTCTCTCCCCGCCTCACCTCTTCTGTCATGCTGGCAGGGGTTTGGCTGCCGTAGCCCTGTTCGGCTGCCCCCAAAAGCCAAGAACGCTGCATAGAGACCATGGGCCACCTGGACCATGGAGGACTCGCCTTCAGGCCAAGCGCAGAAGCACTGCAGGTATCGTATGGTGCTATGTTTAGTGGGGGAATAAAGGGTGCCCAAACCCTTGTAGCCCATTTTAATTTTCGTGGTGCCCTACAATATCCATCGCGTTGCAAAGAAAAGGACTCAAAATACAGCTTCACTGAGCAAGGGGCGACATCTTCAAGTATGGCTGGCCCTGGGACAGTAAGTATCACTGGTGACCAAAAATTGTCCATCTCCCAGGGGCCTATCTATGGAAAATAGTGCTGTCACAGATTGAATTGTGTCCCTCAAAAATACATGTCAACTTGGCTGGGCCATGATTCTCAGTGGTTTGGTAGTTATGTAATGGTGAAATCATCTGCCATGATGTGATCAGCCAATCAGTTGTTAGGTGATGCAACACCTTTACTCAGGTCACACCCCTGATCTGATGTGAGGGGAGTTTCCCTGGGGTGTAGCCTGCATCACATTTTATCTTTCTCAAGATAAAAGGAGAGAGAAGCCAGCAGAGAGATGAGGGACCTCATACCACCAAGAAAGAAGAGCCAGGAGCAGAGCATGTCCTTTGGACCCAGGGTCCCTGTGCTGAGAACCTCTTAGACCCAGGGGAAGACTGGTGCCAAGACACGTGGAGATCTCCAATGAACGCCAGGCGCACAGATGTTGAAAGGAGACAAGGACCTTCCTCCAGATCTGACAGAGAGAAAGCCTTCCCCTGGAGCTAGTGCCCTGAATTTGGACTTCTAGCCTCCTAAACTGTGAGCGAATAAATTTCTGTTTGTTAAAGCCATCTACCTGTGGACTTTCCTTTATAGCAGCCCTAGATAACTAAGACAAGCACCTATGGCATTTAGTTCCAAATTGCTGAATGATCTCTCAGGTGGTGATGGGAACTGTGGTGGCCAGTAGAAACTGCTCATTAGCACTCCTCCTCGAGCGACACCCAGGGCACACACCCTGCCTGCCATACGTGAGTCGTACCTGTGCCACCTCCTAACCCACCTTTGGTGATTTACTCCGAGCCTGAGTTCACACCTCAGGGTCAGGCTCTCACTGTCCAGCTGGTAGCCAGCCACTCTCCAGGGTCTCTGTGGCAGAGTGCCGCATCGCCTTCAACGCCCAGGCTGAGGCTGCCCTTCCTCCAGGGAGGTCGCGGACAGGGAGCTGAACTCTCCAAAACCTGCTTGTGGGTTTGTTTTTCTCAGTACAGTGTAGACGGTAGAACGACCTTGAGATTATGTTGAGGTGCAAATGAAGTAGATAGCGTACCCCTGCAGTCACTCAGAAACATTGGGCTCCTCCTTTCCGGTCTAACCCGCAGCGTCTGGCCAGGCTCACCGCAAGGCTCAGAACCACTGGTAAATGGGAAGACGCAGGACAAGCCCTTGATAAGACTTCAAGAAGTTTACATTAAAAAAAAAAAAAATCAACATCTACTCTATTCAAAAAATTACCCCTAAATTGTGTTCTTCTCTGGGGGACAGCTCTGATTTAAGGTTCCTATGCTCTTGTTCTTCCTGGTCTGTCTTGGTCTGGAAGATCCGCTGAAACCTGTCCACCATGGATGACCCCGCTGGTATTTGAAATACCGGTGGCATAGCTTCCAGCACCATAGCAACATGCAAGCCACCACAGTACGACACACTGACAGAAGGGTGGTGGATCTCATTCTGACTGGATCAACAATCGATGCCTATGGAAGCAGCAGCCAAGAAATCAAACAACAAATTACATTGTGCAAATCTGGTGCAAAAGGCCTCTTTAAAGTTCTAAAAAGCAAAGATGTCACATTGATGGCTAAAGGGCACCTGACCTAAGCCATGGCTTTTCAGTTGCCTCATATGCATGTGAAAGCTACACAAGAAAAAGGAAGACAGAATAACTGCCACGTTCGAATTGTAGTGTTAGCAAAGAATATTGACTATACCATGAACTGCCAGACAAACAAACAAATCAGCCCTAGAAGAAATACAACCGAATGCTCCTTAAAAGCAAGGATGGTGAGACTTCGTCTTGCTTACTTTGGACACATCATCAGGAAAGACCAATTGCTAGAAGAAGACAGCATGGTTGTTGAAGCAGAGGGTCAGCAAAACCAAGGAGACCCTCCGTGAGGTGGACTGACACAGTTGCCACACCAGTGGACTTGAGCACAGCAATGGTCATGAAGATGGCGCAGGAACGGGCAACGTTTCGTTCTGTTATAAATAAGGTCGTCGTGAGTCAGCCATCTCGATGATAACTACCGACAACTACCACTCTTGTTTGAGGCCATGCATAAGGAAGCTGTCATGTAACGTATAATAAATGACCACTTTGGTCGGGAATCACTTTCTAATCATTTCTCTCACTCTTACAAATGTTCATGGACTTGTCCCTGGCCGTCGAGTTGTGTCTGATGATCCTGGGAACAGGGCAGGTCTCAGACCCTCCTCGGGGATGTGTCAGACTGGTAAAAGCGAGGTTAGTTCTCAGCAGCACAGAGATGGTTGAGTCCAGAGGTGTTCTCATTAACACCCGTCGTGTTGTTAATACCGTATTTCCTGTGTTAAAGGGGCTGTGTCAAGGGCAATTTATGTAGGAATGATTTTTTGAATTCTTCTTCATTTTCTAGATTTATTTTTGGTTGATTTGCTGCTCAGTTGTCTTTTCTGCTTGATTACATTAAACTTTATGCTTGAACCAATACTTTAAAGAAAAGCTAACTACTAAGTTAGAGGCCCTTTGGACAAAAGGCTAGTCTCAGGACCCGGTCTTTGATGGCCTTAAATACTGCCTGACTGATGGCCCTGGGCAAGGCAGCAGTGGAACGTGCAGTAAAACAAGGATGAATGTGTAAGTTGGCAGATCCTGGATAAATGAATGTTAAACAACTGTTGCATGAAGGCCTCTGTACCTAAACACATGGCATATGTTGCAATAAACACAAGCTGGACCATCCAACCACAATGCCAAGATAAACTGAGAAGTACTGAAACAAGGCTGAGGGTCCTGGAAGATGAGTGGGGCTTAAAGATGACATGAAAAGAGACCTTTCCAGGGACCTCACCGAGGAGGACGCGTGGATTGGGAAAGTACTGCATGGCCTTGTATGCCACACACATCGTCTGGAGATTGTCCAAGAGATGTGACGTTGTAAAGGCTAGAGAATAGCTAGCTTGTTAGATGCTACTGATCTGAATCCACAGGCTTCTGGGCAGGATCAAGACTCCCCTACAGGACCAGAGACACAGGGCTTCTCCTTAAGCCCACAGCCCCTTCGTGGATGAAACCCAGGCATAGGTGACTGTTATGGACTGAGCTGTGTCCCTCAAACATTTATGTTGAAGTCCTGCCCCCTATACCAGTGATTGTGACCTTTTTTGGGAAATAGGGTCTTTGGAGATGTTAGCAATTAATATGAGGCCATACTGGAGTAGGGTGGGTCCTAATCAACTAAGTGGTGTCCTTATAAAAGAGGAGAAGAGACAGACAGACAGACGGAGGAAGGAAGGCATGTGAAGATGCAGCTACAAGCCAAGAAACTCCTGGGGCCACCAGAAGCTGAGAGACAGGACCAGGTCTTCCCCTAGAGCCTTCAGAGGGAGCATGGGCCTGCTGACACCCTGAATTTGGATTTCTGGCTCCAGAAGTGTGAGAGAATAAACTTATAAGCCCCCTACTTTGTGGTACTTTGCTGCCGCAGCCATGGACAGTAAGACAACGACCATGCTGATGTCCACCCTGACACCCCCTGCCCTCCTTACCATGTCCTCCCAATAATTAAGCTGATGCAAGAAGGAAAGACCCGGTGCATCCACAACTGGTCTGAACCAGTCTGCTGGCCGGCTTTGCAAATGCAGAATGGCAGAGAGAGGGCTTTGCAGGTCCAGGAAGGCAAACGCTCTCCCTCCTCCTATGGATGTTGTCCGCGGCTCCCAGTTATGCCCTGGGGACAAGGCTGCTCGTTGTTCTTCCTCCCTGCACTGCCTGTGCTACGCGCTACCCGCTACCCGTGCTGCTTTCGCTTTCCGGGGATGCTGCTGCCGGGGGTGTGAAAGCCCAGGCGTGTGACGATGACACAGAAGATCTGATGCTGGGTCTGGGCGCACCCCTTTCCTCCCACAACTCCCCCTGCCTGCCATGTCTGTGCATGGACCTCGACCATCTGGCCAGAAGGTGGTGGGGTGCAGAGGAAACGACTTTGCTCGAGGGTCAGCTCCTGGCTCCGTTTCCTTGTCTGCTGGGTGGGAAAACACTACCGCACCTCCTTGCTCACTGGGAAGGAGCAGACCAGACAAGGAAGTAGAAAACAACTTAGGAACAGTGAGTGAGTCATTATGAAGGTGAAGTCCTCCAGCTTTGCTGGAGATCAGGGAGAAGAGCCCGTGGCATGTTCTCCTCTCAAAGGGAAGGACGAGTCACACGTGGAGATGGAACTCCCATCCACGAATCCTCTGGATGATAGATGCTAAGAGGAGAGGAGAGAGAGACTCCAACTGGGGACAAGAAAGAGCCCTAAAGGACAGAAGAAAAACTCATGGCTCGAAATGGCCACTCACTAAAGTAACAGCTGTCCACCAGGCAATATTGTCAAAATTACACCTGGCTCTGGGGGTGTACACTAAGATGGGAACTCCCACTTACTGCTGGGGCAGGCACAAAATGGCACCCTCTTTCTGAAAGGTAACTTGGAGTCTGTATCCAGTGGAACCCTGTCGATACCCTGTGGCCCACTGGCTCCGTTTCTGGGAATGTGGCCCAGAGAACTTTGTAAGGATGGCAACAATCATTTGCCCACAAGGATGCTTATGTTTACAGTGGTGAAAAGAACAAATGACCTAAAAGCCCAGTAACGGTGAAATAGTTAAATAAATTGTGAACGAAACGATCAGTTGCCATCAGGTTGGTTCCAGCCACGTACCGCACTTGGTTCTCCAGGAAGTGCATGTAGCGGTACAGGAGGGTATAGGAGGGAGACAGGATGCCCACCGACTTCATGCGGGCGCCCCGCTCCAGCTCGCTCTCCACCGGCATGTTGGCGAAGCAGGCCAGGCCGAAGAAGGGACCCTTTCGGAAATAGCTGAAAGGGACCAAACGTAGAGTGTGGCTCAGAATCACAGAGAGAAATGTTTTTATCTTCGAGATGCAGTCCCAAAGCACGCAAATTAACTGTGTCTAGGGCTCCAAATGACAGAGCTCAGCCTTCAACTTTTTAGGAACCCTTGGGGAACATTTAGTCCAAGCCACTCAATCTCACCAATGAGACAACGAGATCACAGGCTGGCCAAGGACATACCTCAGGGGCCAAGACTTGGTCTCTGGCAGGCTTGCCGCTCAACCACCCTGGACCAGGGATCGTCCCTTCTCCTCTCCTGCACCAGAGCTAATGACTTGAACGGAGAACCAGAACAAAGACTAGTCTTCAGGACTGTCTACAACTAGACTCTTTCATTAGCATGAGCAATGTGGATTTCCCTCCCACTTCCTGAGTCTGATAATTTCCATAGCACATATGATCAGAGCTGTCATTTCATTTTCTTCCCCTTTCTCCACTTGTATTAGTCATGGTTTCAGCCCAGCCATGAGGATGAAGCTTCCTCGTTACCCTTAAGTTCTTTCCGTTGGTGTCTCACAAACATCTGAATGCCCCCCTACACAACTATAATCTGGCCTCCTTAAGGCTGGAATTTCAAGTTTAAGCACAGAAATGTCTTAAGTTAACCCAAACTGAACTAAAACTCCATCCTTTCATTAAAACCGGAACTCTAGTGAGGGTCATTTCCTTTCTCAGAAGGGGAGAGAGCATCTCTGGTGGAAGTTCTGGACTTCTTTGGGTCATGAAACCCACTGGGCAATTCTTGCTGGGAAAGCTGACGTAAACACAAAACTGCACACACGTTGTCAGAGCCCACAAGCTCTGGGGAAGGTGCAGGGGAGAGGGAACAGTTCACAGAAGACTTCATCTGCAAGTACTCACATGAAATCAGACTGGATCTTATGAGACCCACTAGCCATAGATTTGAACTCAACCCCTTCAAGGTCAATGTCCTGAGGTAGGCACCATTCCACCATGTTTCCTGTGGAAAAAGGAAGATGAGAGAAACAAAATCATTCAGAGAAAATGGCCTATTCCAGGGCTTAGCACACGTGGCTTCTCAATAAACGGCCCGCTGGCTCAAGCTGACAGAACCACCACAATGTTCAGTGGCTCATCCCATCCCTCTCGTGCCTGCTGGTCAAGCTCCTGAGTTACCCAGATGGCCAGCAAGGGACCTCTGATTCCTCCTTCAGATGGACACAGCAGTCCCTTCTGGGAAGATGCTGCCTTTGATTCTGCCATTTTGCTTGGCTATATCCAAATCTCCTGCTTCTCACAGCCTCACTTCTCCAAGTGCGTGTCCTACACCCGTTACACTGTCTCATCTTTTACTCTCTCCTGAAGCCCTTGAGATCTTGCTTCTGCCTCATCTTTCTACAACCACTAAGGCTTTGACAAATCCAAAAGTAAATCCTCACTCTCATAGACCTCTCTGTGGCATTTGATAATTCCTCAGAAATGTATCCTCTTAAGGATGATAAAGATGTGGTGCCTACACACGACGGAATACTGCTCAGCCTAAAGAGAAATGAAGTCCTGATGTTTGCCACCACATGGATGAGCCCTGAAGACATCACGCTGACTGAAATAAGTCAGTCACAAAGAACAAATATTGTATGATCTCACTTATATGAAAATAGCTGGTACAGTGAACCCTGTGAGAGCTGGAACTTGATGAGACTGACTTGTTTTTCTGGGTCTCGTAAGTTTTCTGTCTTTGACAGGGGGCAGTCTTACCACTTTTCTGTTGCTCTCTATTAATGGAAAATATTTTAAGTTTTCCTTCTCTGACAGGTTTCTGCCTTCCACAGGTTCTGTCTTTCACAGGTTTTACTGTATATAGAGACCAAAGATTATTAGTGGCTAACAGCAGTGAGAAGGGGAGGAAAAGGGGAGTTCTTGGTTAGGGGGCAGTGAGTTAACGTTAATGGTGGTGGGGCCATAATTTGGAAAAGGATAGCGATAAAGGTTGCACGACAGGAAGAATGTAATCAATGTCACCGAATTGTACATGTGAAAGTTGTTGGATCGGTGAAGGTTTTGTTGTGTATATTTTCACCACAATAAAAAAAAAAAAAGTGTGTGCTCTTTTCCATTGATTTCCATGAGAGTTCACGATGTTGGTTCTTTTCTTACTTCTATGATCCCTGTAGCTGTGCGTCCTTCCCTAACTCTTTCTCCCCTCCCCCCAAACGAGGCCCTTCTCCACAGTTCAGCGTTCAGTTCTTTGTTTCCAGGATTTGGGGCTCATTCAGAGTCTTTCATATGCCGCTGCGCAGTGTGCATCTCTAAAGCCGTGCAGTGCTTAGCATTTCCGAAAATTATTTGGCCAATGAACCTATTTTTCCAAGGAACATCATAAGGGACTAGTTTTATAGTTTTTTAGGCATGCTGGCTTAGCAGAGGCTGCAAGCAGCCCCTCAATATCCATTCTTTCCTTCCTATACAGAATATTTTTAGCTTGGCACATGGCCTCCCAAAATGAAGACTACATTTCTCAGTAGCTCCTTGCATCTAGGTATGTCTATATGAGGTCCCTGGGTGGCAGAAAGAGTTAAGCGCTCAACTACTTGCAGAAAGGTTGGCAGTTTGAACCCACCCATTGGACCTTGGAAGACAGGCCTGGGAATCTGCTTTTGAAAAGTCACAGCCATGAAAACCGTTTGGAGCAGTTCTCCTCTGACACGCGTGGAGTTGCTATGAGTTGGAATCGACTTGACAGCAACCAACAACAATGTCTATCTGAGTAAATTCTGGCCAACGAGATGTGGGCAGAAGTGAGGTTGCTGTTTCCAGAAAGTGCCTTAAAGGGAAGGAGCATGCTGCCCCCTCCTGCATCCTGCTGCCTCAAATGTGGTCGTGGTGATAAGCCATCTTTGATCTTGCAGCCCAAGGATTGTGGAGAGGATGCTGGAGCAGTAAGCCTGGATCCCTGCATGGCCTTGTGGATCTGAGCAGCATGCCAGCCCTGGGCTGGATAGCTACCGACTGTTACATGAAAAAGAAATCAAGTCCTATCTTGTTGAGCCACGGTTAATTTGAGTCTCTGATACTCACAGCCAAACCTGTGTACTAGTTAATACAGCAGACCTAGAGGATGAAATTCCCATTCCTCAGCTGGTTCTCAGAACCCTCTTCTGTTCTCCTCTGCACCTGGCCAGCCTTGTTCTACAGAAACAGGAAGAATCATATGGAGCACCCAGCATCGTTCACTTTCAGATGGATACAAGCCCCTCTGGGCTGGGAAGAAAGGTCCGTCACGGTCAGGTGGGAGAACAGACAGAGTACAGGCTCCAGAACACCGCGCCGGGAACAGTCATCTCAATCCCCCAGGAAGAACATTCCTGCCCACACACTGCTTGCACGAAAGGAAGTAGATACAGCCCCAGCCTGGTATATTCAGTGTCTCAGACAACTGTCTCCCCAGAAGACTGTGAACTTCTTAAAGGAACTTGGCTTGTTCATCCTTGGGTACCCCACACAGTGCAGTGCCCAGCCCAGGTTGGACGGGCATTCGTTAGCACAGTTTCAGTGAGGACAGGCGCGATTTCACAGAGCGACGTGATGAGCTGACGATAATTACCCGAGGGTGGTCATGTTATTGTGGTTATGTCGAAAAATGTCCCTCTCAGGAGGTTCATACTGAAGTACTCAGGGGCAAAGGGCCATGATGCCTGCAACTTACTTTCAAAAGAGCCAGCAAAAAAAAAAAAAGATCCCTGGTGGCACAAATGGTTAAGTGGTTGGCTGCTAACCGAAAGGTCGGCGGTTCGAACCCACCCAGTGGCTCCACAGGAGAAAGACCTGGCGATCTGCTCCCATAAAGATTTACTGCCTTGGAAACCCTATGGGGAAGTTCTACTCTGTCCTATAGGGTCTTTATAAGTCACAGTCAACTCAGTGGCACCCAACAGCAACAGCAACATACCTGTAGATAGTCAATTCTGCCGTAACACTCGCCAAATTTATTCCAACACAATTGATACATTAGGGTACAGTTGAGCCTAGGAATGTCACATTTGCTTATGCATGGTTTTGGTCGTGAGAAACACAGGGGATGTAGAACACTGCACCCAGCTGAACCGAGCCAGGTAGGAATACACAAAATGCACCCAGGCACACACCTCAAACACCTACCAGCTCCCTCCGTTCCCCGGGTGGGTGGTACGCCATGCCCATCCACATCTGCTGTCCCATCTTTTCACCCCATCTCAGGTAACCCTCCTTCTACGCCTGCACAAGAACTCCGAAGCTCAGCCCCTCCAATGCCCCCCTCCACAAGCAAACTCCAGGTCTCCTCCAAGGTAAGGGGCCATCGTTATTGGGTACTTACGATGTTCTCAACCACGTAAGATACGTGAAACCGTTTTACTTAGAGGGTGATATTTTTGTTGTGTGTCACTGACAAAGCTTTCAGTGTCGCCTCCCTAACCCTCTTTTCCCCGGAGCCTGGTGGCTTTTACTGCGTGATTTTTCACAGCGCGGTGACATTTAGGGACACGTGTGTCACATCAGAGCAGAACTGACCATATAAGAATAGAGCAAAGGTGGCAAAATGTTAACACATGGGGACTCTAAGTGAAAGACAGACAGGTTCCCACTGTACTATTCTTTCAAATTCTCTGAGGTTTAAAATATTTTAACAGACAAATTGGGAGAAAGTAATGGAAATAATAGAGATGTGAAAAAACATCAGGTCACTGCTATGGATTGAACTGTGTCCCCATGAAAGATAAGTTGAAGTCCTAACCCCCTGGCACCGGTGAACAGGACCTTGTTGGGCAGTTGGGTCTTTGCAGATGTAATTAGTTCCATTAACATGAGGTCCCACTGGAGCAGATGGCTCCTGATCCCACCTGAGTTATGTCCTCATAGAAGAGAAGAGAGACAGACAGACGGAGATGGACGCAGTGTGATGATGGCTCTGAGCCAAGGATGCCTGGGGCCACAAGAAGCCAGGGGAGGCGAGAAGGGCTCTTCCCCGTGAGCCTTCGGAGAGAGCCTGGCCCTGCCACTAGCCTCCAGACTGTGAGACAACACATTTCTGTCCTTACAAGCCACCCGGTTTACGAAAGCCTGTTAGGGCGGCTTCAGGATGCTAACCAAGTGACCATGAAGGATTTTGCAGTAACACAAACCAACGGTGGAAATGTGCCACGGGAGCCAGGAGAAAAAGAGCAGCGCGGCTGAAGTGCACCGCTCAGCAGGAATAGTCCACTGTTCTCAAAAATAGGAAACCAGCTGGAATGTGGAATTTGTAGAAGCTTAAAGGAAACTAAATCTGAAAAACATAACAATCCTTAGGGTGAGCCGTTAAATGCTCAGAAATCCTCACACTGAACGTGTATCTATCCCAGGCTCAAGCTTCATCAGCAAACTCCAAACCCTTTGATTTTGTAAACAGCCTCACTGCACTTGAAGAATGCAGCAGAGAGCTGGGACCCGGGACGTTTCAATGGAAGGGGCCATTCCAGTGACAACCGTCCAAAGACACAGGGGTCCCCTTTGACAAGTGCCTTTCCCCCCTAACTTGCTCTCCTTCTTCTCGCCCTCCTCGTCTTCTTGTCCAGGCCTCGAGCCTGTCACTGGTCCCCACGTGTCCTGCCTAGCCTCTAGCTGCAAGGAGGAGTTCTGGTGACTGCAGGAGTGATAATCTGCATTGTACATCAGCCAGTCATTCAACAAACACTGCTGGACATGACTTGGCTGCGCTGGGCCAGGTGCTGGGCCCATGCCAATGCAAATACATCCTGTTTCAAGGAGCTCAGACTCATAGATGTTGGGCTGGCAGCTCCGTGAGCCGGGGCAGCCAGAAGGGCCAGGGGAGGGGGCACCTGGCCGCGGTGTGTAGACAGTCTAACACTTCAGTGTTGTAAATGCCAGCCTGGAGGCTCTGTCCTCCATCTCTAGAGCTAATGCTGTTCAAGCTCCTGGAGTCTGTCCTGTCCACATATAAAGTTCCTGGGTTATGCAAATGGT